ATCATGTTTGATTACTACTTTTAGCGAAACGGATCTCATACACTCCTGTCAATTGTGCTCCTCACTATTAAGAATAATAATGCAGATACGTTTGCAGGAAGCCGGTTCACCTACAAACAAAGGGAGAGGCCGACATTGTTGGTGAAATTCCGATTCTGTTGTTTTTGGGGCTGTTTCATTTCCATATGAAGTTGGCGTCCAGGCGGAGGCTTCAAATGCTCCCAATTAGCCAAACTATGGAAAGTTCGATAAAATACCCCCCACTACCTCTACGCTTATCCTCCTCAACTTTCTTTTTTGATTATTCCGAGTTCAATTGTCCTATGCCTACGAATCACTCCATCTTTCGCGATTGGCTGTAAATAGCAGATATCCCGGTAACTGCTAACCGTAGATGCACTCTTCAGTAACGTTTCACAGGAATTATTTCCTGTCCATATGCTGTGGTCTCACAGTGCCGCAGGCGTAGATATGGCCCCCAGCAGCGTGTACAAGGTGATGATGCGACGGAAAGTTTGACAGAGAATTGATTTTCAGCGAGGGTTCATCGGTCAGGCATAGCTGAACGGAGAACAAACTGTGTACACCACCCTCTCATTGATAGGCATAATACCAACGAAGAAGATGACGGCCTAGCACCGTCAATCGAATATGGAAAGTAAATAAAACGATTTTGAGTATCCTTTAACGCGACTATGTTAAAGTTCATATCAATTGCCTTTATCCAATGCCCAAATGCGGCAGAGTCTAGTCGCTCATATATATGCATTTAACATTTTCATCATCAATTTATGCTGTTTATACTGAAAATGGCTCTCCTGGCTCGACCAGTTTCCGATTAGTGTAACGTCGAAAAATTGGATAGAGATCGGAGTGGCTGGGATTCAGAAAATCTGGAACATACTTTTTGAAGAAAATGGCATCACTGCCTTGTCCCTGTGTAAACCTACCTCGGTAGGCATATGTCGCGAATCCTTGGGCATCAAAGGTGTACTAGGCCTCGGAAGAGTTTAATTCGCTATATCTCTCCGCTTTTGTTTTCCCCAGCAATCTCCCATTATTGACAAAGGAATTGCAACTAGATGTCCACTGGCATTGTATGGATGCAAGGTTGTAGCCTGATCAGTAGCCCTGAGAGCCGAAACGAATGCAGCACGCTGAAGTAGATCAACGGCCGAAGCCCCTGTATTTCGATAACGTGAAAGCTAGAAAGAGAATTAAGGGTTGAATTGTTAAGGGACAATGATAACTAATTGGCACGAGTGGTGCCTCAGAAGCATTCATAAAACATGCATACTAGTGTTGCATTTGTAGTTGGTAGTTCTACCGCCAACATTCAATAACTGCAGCTTAATGTGGGCTGTAGAAAGCATATCACAATTGCTTTATCAAATAGAAATAAAGAAGGGTAATATGTTAAATGCAAACAAAGAACAAGAATTGGGCACAATGGAGAGTGTGGTCGACGCTTATTCTTTAGTTTTCTTATGGCGTTCAAAGAATGAAAAATTTCACTGTGAACTTGGCCACCCAGGGGGTTATATGGCCTTAAAACAAACAGGACAAACACAAGCAAGGCACCTTCCACCATATTAGCCGAGTGGCACTTGGGCCAAGTTCGGATAGTTAGCAATGCAGCTTTCAAGTAGTATAGTGATTAAGATGTCGTATGTCGAGTAAGAACCATGTGGGAAAAAGGAAGGAAAAGACGAAAAGTGGAAATAGAAATTAATGCAGAC